TTTTATTTACAAAACACCTGAGTTTTAACACCTATTTTCTTACAGGCAAGAAAGACAACTGAATACAGCCCATGGGCCTTATAGTATAAAAAACACTCAAGTACAGAACAATATAATCAAACACAGACCACAAGCTTGGCTAACACGTTGCTTTAGCCTTGTGAATTTGTGTCCAGACAACATGACTACTCTACCACTTGCCGCCACTCAAAGACAAATCATCAGTAACTGAGGTTAAACCAACACTTCAGATGTAGCAGTAATGAGTAGAACAAAAGATGAGAGAGGGCCTCAAGGATAACTATCTCTGTCTAATCGTTATCAGCTCTTAAATTTTGGCTTAAAAGGGGAACACTTTCATTAATCCTACCGTCAATCCACCGTGAAAATAAACACATTAGCCTGCCTTTCTTTGACAGACTGCCCTTTAGCTGGCGAGCTTTTTCCTGTCCGCCATGCTTCGCCCTTCCTTGGTTTTTGCTGCCACCACTTTGCTATCTCACATTCAACTTTTAACCCTTAGTGCTGGAAGCTACATGAGACAGCAACCGACTGACCTTATTGTTTCCACAGACCAGGTCCAGACTTTCCTAAAAGTCCTAAAGCAATCCTTTCTCAAACACAAAATAATGAGACAAACAGGCTGATTGCTCTTTGTGGAAAGGAAAATCAACCAGTTACATGCCAGGCTGTAACTCCTTAGTGAAACCTCAGCAACATCTAAACATGAATGTCATAGACAATCGCCACTCTATAATTAATAAGTATTTTAGGATCTGTAGGATCTTCTTAGTTTTAGTCTTGTGTGACTATCCTAATCTACAGTCAGGATTTCTGGATGTTAGTCCATGTTGAGAGGATTCTTTGCCCATAGTTTCCTACCAGGTAGACCTTCATTTCAGGCGGCATGCAAATCTCGCCTTCTGCACCAGAATTAGCCAACAGTACAGTCCTCAGTATGCTTAAAACAAAGTGTTCGTCAGGTTGTCTAACAGCATCTGAAACCCACTTTCCCACAGCAGGAAAAGAAGGGCTGCATGCGACAATTTAACCCACTTTTTACAGCGATTGGCAAAGTGTGCAGTATGACTTTGACCATAACCATATAAAATGAAAGCATTCACAAGTGGAGTTTGATGGGAGTAGTGCACGGCCTGGGTAGAGGTGCTATTTGGGAGACTCATTTAAAAACAAAAAAGTCCCAGACACATGGGCCGCCTTCAGTTTGTGGGTTATTGTGACCTTTTTTAAACTCTGAAAACAGCACAACAGTCTCTCATAACCAAATTTTCCCAGTATTATCACAATACAACTGCTTAACTTTTCCCAACTTTAAAACAACCCCCTGCACAGGTCCCAAGGGCTGATTCTAAATCACCGATAGGCTCAGTCAAAGTCATACAAAAACACTGACTAAATAGTCTAATCTATTGGAAAAATGTCCTATCTGGACACCAATACCTTACACAAGAGGATGAACATTATTGTAGCATGTTAATCTGAAAATATAAAATGCTCTGATTAAGGTCACTATGTTATCATAGAAAACATACGTGTCTTCAGGGCTCTGTCTTGCCTCACAGCAGCCGTAGTTTCACATGATTCAGAGCTGATAACTGACCATGTCAGCTCTCCCATATATGAAAACATTGGCTGCATTTGCAATTAGATATGTATGTGATTATCTTTGGGTAAATATTGTAGTATGGCCATTGATACCATGTGACCTGCACCCACAGATTTGAAAGACCTTATAGCTGAGCTGTTCCTGTAGTTTTTTTTCCATTGTGAGAGTGCAATAAAACAGACTTTCTGTTCTATAGTCCCTTAACTATATGGTGTATGATGATGGCTGTTGTGGCAGCATCACTGTGTCAACGTCAGTTTAGACCTACGTTAGTTGTCAGACAACAAGTTTAACAGTATGAAACCATGTCTGTGAAGAGTCTCAGTCATAGTTATCCAAGGAAGGTTAAAATCAAGGGGAACTGGACTTGGTCAAAGATACTTGAAGACGTTTTGCCTCTTATTCAAGAGGCTTATTCAGTTCTGACAGGCTGGCGGGGATTCCCAGCTATTTAACCTCTGTGGGGTCGTTATCAAGGTGACGGATACCGCTTGGTTTGTCAGTGCTGCTGGCTGTTGTAATGACAGTCGTTATTATCGGAGTCACCCGAGGCCAAGTCTGAACGACTTGCCATTGGCATCGTCACATTAGGCCAAATGTCAGCATTAGTTCAGTCTCCTGGGAAGGGATGAAAGTATGAAAACAGTTGGTGCTACGTGAATTGTCTCAGTGTTCTTGTATGAAGGAGACTAAAGTTGGCTAATGCTGTAATTCTGGCAGAGGTAATACCAATGCTGCACTGCCTTAAATGGGAAACAGAAACCCAGACCTGTGCTTTACTACAACATGGCTCTGATTAAGACCAGACTGGTCTGCCTGTGGTTCATTCTGAGCCACAGCCAATTCCTGCTCAGGGACAAGACTGTATGAATGCATCTATGTTGATCTCGCCCCCCTTTCAGCTACTTATGTTATCTTTCGTGGAGATCCAGATCACATCATATCATTGCCAAACGACTGGATAGGGTATTGGTTATGCTGCCGTTTTAAGTCTGGCGTAAACACAATGAATTACAATGTGCATCTCTCATAAATGATGGAGTACGGATGAAGTTAACGATGTCAGCAGGATCACTAAAACACATTCTTCTGTGAAGTTGCAGACTGTTCAGTTTTAAAGGAGGATGATTGATTGTGTCCAACAGAGACATGTGATTTCTGCCTGTGTTACTTAGCCTACAATCTGAAGGACTTATCAATAATGGGATTGCCTGGATCTGATTTTATCAGATCAAATGAGCTGCTGTGTTAGCCAACCCACAGCATATGTGCATGCTAACATGATAAAAAAGTATCTTGTTTTCTCAAGATAACAATATCTGTTATCTTGGAAAAACAACTTATACCGAGATAAGAAGAAAATGTACTTAAGATAACAGGACTGAAAAATTGATAGCAACCAGGGCGGCTCTCAGCTTCCATATACCAACTTATTTTTCTCACATTCTTGCTTATAGTTTATTCAACTTCAGGACATTAGGACAAATCAACTTTGTTTTAACTCTCCCAGACCTGTCTTTCTGTCTGACCAGACTCACACCTACTTACTAAATGCTTTTGCACAATTATGAGATTTGATGTTGTTGATTGTCACCTCCTTTTTTTTCAGAATGAAATGTTTTCAAAGCCATTCACGTCACATCTGCAGTCCTGGTTAAGTCATTTTAACTTTGTGTCATCAGGTGGTGTGATGAGAACCATCTGCAGCTCAACGCCAGCGTCTCACAGACTGCAACATGGTAAGAATCCATCACACCTGTCCTGTTGTGATAACAAGTATTGCTGACATTGTAGTTTTTGCCACTCAGTTTCTTTACTACAAACATTAAAGTCTCTTCTTTTCTTTAAGTGCTCGAGATTTTCCCTCCATGTTTTGGAAGTGATGTTTCTCTGCTACCATCTCGTGGTCAAAATGAACATTTCATTTTCTGAGGAAAAAAAGCTAATTAACGAAACAAAACACAGTGTTTATTTAGAAACAAACGTTTCTCCTCCAACAAAAAGCCCCTGAAGACACTTTATTCCTGTACTTGTATGATGGTTTTTCTGTGAGAGATCCGTTCCCCCCACTTTGTTCTTTGTTTTTGAACAATGTTTCAATGTTTCAATGTTATTGTAATGATCCTTGTTATATATTGTTTTGATATTACTTTTCAAATAATCATAAAGATGGGGGGAAGAAACCAAAAAAGTCCTGGCTTAATTCTCAAAACACATTTGTAGTAACCAGTTAGGCCAACAGAATCAAAAGAATAAGAGTTTAATTGGTAAGAATATAATAAAATTATTGGTTTGTTTTAGTCCATTGTGCTATACTTAGTTAGCCTTGCAGTATATTGCTTCTCTTCCTCTCACATCTCCTAAATCACTAGAGGTATTAAACCTGAGCATTAAAGTTCATTGCCGAGAGGAAAACACTTGAGGCTTCTTTTTCATAGAGACCATATGACCTGACACATGTACATAAGTTAACCTGCAGTATATTGTCTACCTTTCATTCAGTGGCTCACACACCTTTTGATGTTATTTTTCTCTACATGAGAATTTTTCAGCTCTGGATGCTCTTCTTTTTTATGGAGCAACAAACTAATTGAATGTAAATGCAAACCAGCAACTATATACGATTGAAACGATAAACTAATACAGGTAATATATAACATAAATATATGTTCAGTGTCCCACAAAACCAAGGGTACCTTTTAACAACACTAAATAAAAATAAGTAGAACAAAAATTAAAAGGACTTAATTTTTTATTTTTAGAAATTATTGAAATCAGCCAAAACAGAGTGCATGGTTTCTATAAAAAAAACTATCGTCAACATATTTATATTTTTGTTTTCAATTAATCTCATAGATTGTATTTGAAATTTGAAGTTTATTACAAAAGTCTTAAGTTCCAGTGTAGCTTTAAGGATTTAAGTTAAGATAAGTTTGCAAATAATATGACGAAAACAATCTAGTTGATTTGCTTGCCTTTCTATAGCAACATCATAAATATGTATACATAAGAAAGCATTTAATTTATCCCAAAAAGTTAGCAGTTCTGCATATTGATAGCTCACTGTCTCTATTTACTGGTAGATTATGTCATCAATAAAATAGGCAAGCACCCAAGTGGAAAATACACACACTGTAGCCAACCAGAAACAGTTGAACATTACTTGATTGTAGAAAAGACATTATCAAGAGGAGACACCTTCTTCAATCACTAAAGAAGGCAAAACATTACTGTCAGGTGTCTTCAGGAAAATAGCAGGCAAGATATACTGAGACATTATTAAATTCTGGGTTTTTTTCCTGCATAACCTTGTTTCACACTCCAGTAACACCTGGAGGCGGTAATGCACCTCTAAGCTGGGTTGCCAACCGCTATTAAACACTAAAGAAGAAGACGTTGACGTCATCAAAACAAGCCGAGCCGAGCAGCATGGAGGGTCCGTCTCACTGAGGATTTTTGACCTTCTAAAATTATTCCTTTCAGCTAGTTTCGGTGAGTTGGTTCTTTACATCCTAACTTTAGTGTTAATCTGAAGTAAAGTCGGTGTAACTTGTTGTTCCTGCTTTTGAACGCGGTTGTGAAGTTAAAACTAACGTTAGCTGCATAAAGGCTAAGTACATAGCTCCTGGATGTCTTCACGTCATCCTGCTTTTATAATCTTAATTTGCAGAGATAGCGGCAATGTAATTATTAATGGAAAAGTCATATATAGAAAGATGTGAATATTATTATATAATATAATTATGTAGTAATCAGCTCAAAGGTAGAAAATATTATGAATTTTCTTTGGGTAGCACCATAGACTATATAAGAAGGGTAGCACGAACTGGGGCTATGCTGTGTCCTTTCACCATTCAACGAAATTACAACAAATTCAATTGTGACAGAGGCTAGTTATTATATGACATTGGGTTTACAAAAAAAAACCTTCAGCTCATCATCATTTGTCAGATTATGGCTGGGAACAATAGTATTTTTTTGTCTGTACTACAGGGTTGAATAGAGCTTTCCAGGATGTCGGTCAAGCATGCATCCGTCCATGCGAAATGGATCATCGGCAGAGTAATAGGCACCAAGATGTACAAAACTGCCAAAGTGAGAGTTACAAGGCTGGTGCTGGACCCTTACCTGCTGAAGGTGAACCTTTAAACGTGTTTATTCACTGCCGATGGGTACAGGAAGGACAGGTGGTGTGGATGTTACACTGCCTACTTTTCAAACAAGGGGATACCAAGAATAATGTCAATTAAATTTCTCCTTAATCATGTCTACCTGTTATTTTACTGAGGTTACAGCTGGGTACTGTTTTTATAATACCTGTGGCATTATGATATCAGTTTTTCCCCCAACAGAATTGTTTTTTCATTATACAAAATATGCCTCTGCCATGTCTCTGTGTATCATCAGTACATAATATTGTCTGATCACACAGTTTTTTGACCCACATATCTTCTCTTAACACTTGGACACATGCTGCACCTTCTTAGTAATACTAGTTGTTTACAGCTTCTCGGTACTTTCTGTACTCATATTTGTAAATGTTATACATTGGGTTATTTGACTTGCAGTCTGACTAAGTTAGCTGTTTGGCTGTAGTAACTTGTGATTTATATTTGGAATTATTTGATGATTAATAATTAGTCACACCATTCACTTATTAAAATCCTGATCGTGCTGAAATATTGCAAGTAGCCGAGAAGATTAATTTGCCCAACTTGCATAATAATTTGGAAGCATTAACAATCTTCACTGACATGTAGTACATGATCAACTTTTCAGATAGATGATTGATTGTGGTACAGTAACTGTATTTAAATGAGTTTAATGTTGCCTTTTTTGTCCTCATAGTACTACAACAAGAGGAAGACCTACTTTGCCCATGATGCTCTGCGGCAGTGCACTGTGGGAGATATCGTCCTTCTAAAGGCTCTGCCTGAGGCCAGGTCCAAACATGTGAAGCATGAACTGTCTGAGATAGTGTATAAAGTCGGTCAGGTGGTCGACCCACTGACAGGGAAGAGAGTTGCAGGAACTGAGTTTGTGGATCCTCTGACTGACCTTCCACTCAGCCTGGAAGAGGACACAACCTTATCTGAAAAACTGCAGGAGCTCAACATCTCTGCTGCCTCCAGTGGAGCTGATTCCCCGCAAGCACAAACTCCCACTTCATGATAGAAAACTGCAGTCTTTTATGCAGTAATGTTTTGCTTAGATTATGTTTCTGTTTCAGGTGTTCATGTAAATATAAATGTATAAACAAGTAATCAGTATATGTCAATCAATGTTGAGAGCCTAATTACATTTTCTTTACTACCTTCTCAGGTAGTTTTGAGTTCAAGACACATTTCTTTGAGGAATTTACAATAAAATGACAATGAGAGGGCATTTTATTATTCACAAACATGTATGCATGGGGCCCATCTGTTTACCAAAGGTTTATGTTTGAAAGACATTAAAATATTGTAGCATATATAGTGGATTATGCAAAAGCAGAGACAAGCATCAGTCATTGGTACATTTACCTGGCATTGCTATTATAAATACATATTCAATAAGTACACTCAAATTTACTGGCATTGTGTCAAAAGAAAAATGCACTGAAAAGAAATGTGATGGTCAATATTTTAAAGCCTGTATAAGTTATATATAGAACAAAATAAGTTATATTTAGAGGTTGAAGGAAAATAGAAGCTAACAGCTATTTTTTTCGTCAGGTGTATTGCTCAAAGTCTTAAACCCTGATGTCAACTCTGTAATTGTTAGGTTAATCAAGAGCAGAAAACCAGAGTTATTCCTATGCTTAATAGGTTACCCCATGTAAATTATCATCAGGTCCCCTAGATATCAAATTAACGACACGACGTTAACTGATCCCTGTACATAAAGTAAACACGGGGTTACGTTATCGTTAATTAACGTCAACTCCACCGGGTACAGTTCGGACTGCGGCCGTTTCACAACCTCCAACTGACACCCACTTTCAGGGGAAAGATGGCGACCCGAGTCCTTCAAAGAGTTGGCAAAGGCCTTAAACAGACGAGAAATGGGCTTCAGGCAAACCGACAAGTCACGGTTGTCGTAAGGTTGGAGTTTCACAAATTGCATTCAGATGTTGAAATGCTTCTTAAAATTAGTTAAGCTTCTGCAGACTTTAAAACAATGACAAAGGCCGGTGTGCTAGGTGGCTAAGCTAACGCTAACGTAAGCACGTTGACTACGTTTAGAGCTCTGTGCAACGTAGCTAGCGTTAGCCCTATAGCTTTAAACTTGCTAACTTTCTGCTAATGCTAATTATAACCGTCCCAAATTACAAAGTGTGGAAGCAACTTATGTTAGCAATAATTATTGCGGACTTCATAATTGTGTGCAGACAGTTATAGATGCCATGTGCAGAAATAATATAACGTTAAAATCACAACTGAGTTTCTGTCAGTCCCAAACAGAATTCAACTTCAAGGTCAAAATGCAATGAATTGCTGCTCAGCAGTAGTTGTTTTGATTAGTGGACGACATAGTTTCTTCCTGCCGGAGATGTGTGTTCTAAACCAAGCTGTGATTTAAAAATGATTTAAACTAAAATGCTGTGATAAAGTTTATGTGAGAAGGGACAGCCTTGAATGCACTTTGCAGCGTAAATAGTTGTGTTTGCCTCAGCTGGCAAACTGTCGTAAGACTACTCCCTGATAAACAACAGTAACCACCAGTGTGTGTATATATATATATATATCTCAGAAAACGAAATACTAATGATGTGGGAAGGCTGCTTAGGAGTCCATGTAATTTAGACTAATCCTCTGGTTATGTGCATTATGTGTAACGTTACAACTTACAGGCTTCTCTATTGCTGATCTCTGAGCTGGAGTTTCTTTACTATTAATGAGTTAGGCTGTATGTAAGATTTTGAAGAATGTTCTTAGTTTCCTGCAGCTATCATTGACTAGTATACAGGTAGTTTACACTGACCTCAGTCTTATTAAGAGGTGCAAGGGTATTTATATTGCACATTTCTTCATAAATAAACTGAATGCATTACTTTAAAGGCTTACCAGTTATATGAATTATAGCCTGACTGATGGATTTTTGAAGCTGATATCAATAAGGAAATAAGAAAGCTTTAAAAGTCCTCAGCAATATATGTCAATGTAGTGATTTTATCTTAAAGATATAGCATAAACCTTTAGTTAAGGTTCCCTTAAAGCTGCTAATTAGCCTAAAGAATTGTGAAAATTCTCTGTGTTGGTGAATTATTAAAAAAACAAATCACCACTTAATTTTGGATTAAAATGCACGTTACTGAGATTGTAACTGGTATAATATTAACTATTTTTGTTTGTAATGCTGTTATATTACTGCGTTTCATTACTATAATCGCTTTACTTTTGTAATGCCAACACTGTTTATATATTTGTGCTTCTTCACTTGCTGTACTTTCTATCTTTCATCTTACTTTATATTTTTATAGTTTATTGCTATGCACCAATATACCAAGGTGAATTCCAAATATGGGAGATCCTACTTGACAATAAACCTGATTCTGACTAAAGTCAGTGAGTGGGCCACAAGTGTATTGAGAAGCCAAATCATTTACTGCTTAGGAGACTTACAGAATTGCACTAGAGTACAGGCAGTTTATGCATAGTTCAGCATAGTTTTATGCTGCACTGTTGTTGGTATCTTATTTCTTCATTGTGTAGCAAATGAAGTGCCGGTTGTATCCAACGTTTGTGTTTCGCTTCATCACAGGAGCCTCTCGGGTTACCGTGAAGACAGCTGGTTCAAGTCTCTGTTTGTAAGAAAGGTTGACCCCCGAAAAGATGCTCACTCTCATCTGCTTGCCAAGAAGGAAGACAACAACCTGTACAAAATACAGTGTATGTATTTTTTGAGACTTGCTACAAGTGTTATGGTGGTTCAAATGAGAGACTACCCCGACTGAATGTGTTTCATCATTTCAAGATGGATTTAAAAACATTTTTCTTCTGGTACAATCTTGTGTTAGTATCCACTCATGTTTTGTTGTTTCCTTGCAGTTCACAATGTGAAGCCTGAGTGCCTCGATGCTTATAATGAACTTTGGTAAGAAGTCCCTTTTTCTTCATTGACGTCATTCAGATGCCCTTCAAAGGCACAGGTTTTGTAAATCTTTGTGTGTATCTTTAGTGAGAACGTCTTGTCTTCCATTCATGCTGACCCTGAATACCCTTGTGAGCTTGTGGGCACCTGGAACACATGGTACGGAGAGCAGGATCAGGCAGGTAAGAGCACGCGTCAAGGTTACCATACAAATGTGTATGTGATAAACCTGCTTGTGAACGGCATTTGACTGATTGGTTGATAGCCCATTCATTCAGGTAGTCTGAATAAAACCAATACTTAATTTTCAAGAGAGAAAAGATTGATTAAAAACACAGATAGGATAGTAGGGCTCTAAGGATGCATCAATCAACAGATAATGAATTGACAGTCATCTAACTTCACAGATGTGAGGTTTTAATGCTTTTTTCTATTCTGTATCATTGTAAATTTAATATTTCTGGGCTTTGAAGTGATTGTTGGACCAAACAAGCAGTTTAGAGGTGTACCTTTGGGCTCAGGGAAACTGAATAACATGTTTCATCTGTTAAACACAAAACATTAATTGATTAGATGCAGATTAATTGATCATGGGAATTATTGTTAGTTGCAGCCCTACAATGATTTTAACTCCCGATTAAAGGTGGCCTATTTAAGACCATCTCACTATCTCATGGACCTGTCCTTTCAGTTTGCTGCTGCTGAATGCGGCGTAAAGGATTTTACTCAGACATTTTACAAACATATTGCTCTTTCTCTCCTCTCCCCTGACACAAACTGGCGCTTTCACAAGTTTAAAAAATTTTTTTTGGTGATTATAGCCGTGACTGTATCGCACTTTTCCTGGCTGCTGTCCATTTTGTACTTGTGGTGACATTTATCATTCCTCATTTCTCTGCCTCTAAAGTTCTTGCTCAGTAATACCCTCATTAAAGCTAGTCTAAAAGGCAGGATATATAAAACATATTCACAACGTGTGCACTGAGAAACAATATCCAGTCCTCTGAGAGAGAGAGAGAGAGAGAGAGAGAGAGAGCGCTGTCACTTCATGGTTAGTCCTGTAAAATTAACAGTTTTCATGATTGAGTCTTTCATTCAGTTTTTTCATCTTGACAGGATTCAGTATATTATTACCTGATCAGGTTTGGCTGATACGATCTCAAGTGTGGTCGCAGGGTAAACTCTTTTCTACATGATGAGAAGAACTTTTGGATTGTCTCATTTCATTTGACAAAATGACTAAATGTTAAAATATTAAAGCAGCCAGAGTTTTTTTTTTTTTTTTTTTTCACTGCAGCATTTTTCAGTCAGAATCTCACATTTTACCAGATGTAACTGTAAAAGTAAGATGAATTCTAGACTAAAGATTTCTGGTTATTTCACTGGATCTCATCAAGTCAGCTCAGATTACAGCAGGTCTAGAGAGATAAATAATTAAACAGATTTTAATGTAAAAGAAAAGCTTTCCCAAAGAAATACAGACACACCGAGATCTATTCGAGAGCTGCATTATTTTTGGCTCTTCTGCTCCTTCTATTCTAGTTCACCTGTGGAGATATCGGGGAGGATACCCGGCTCTCACCGAAGTCATGAACAAACTCAGGCAGAATAAGGTAACGGGTGCTCGGATTAGTTCAGTTTACTGGCCCGTAGGCCTCCGTTTCTGGCAGTGCACCCCTTCATTAGATCCACAGACCATTTCTCCACCTTTGTGTTTCACCATCTTTATCTGTGATTTTCTAGCTGTTTGGTGTGATGGTTATTTTTGTGCAGGTATCGTTTTAAAGCTTATTTACAGAATGGCTATTGTATACTATACATAAGGTCCGTGCAGGTAATGGACTCAATCCAGCCCTATCCTTAAGAAGTTGTGGAGTTTTTGTTTGTTTAGTCAGGTTGACTAAAGTTTCACCAGAAATTTACTTTTATAGACTTTTTTTTATAGACTTACCGTTTATTTATTTATTTTAATTTTTAATATTTTTATATATATTTTTTTTTAACACAAACACACATACGCTTTGATTACTTGACGCTATAATCACTTGTTTAATGAAATGTATGGGGTTGATTGTTCTTATGTAGTTTGTATGATGCTTTGGCAATATTGTTGTTACACATTCATGCCAATAAAGCTATTTTTTTTTTTTTTTTATTGAATTGACTTTAGGAACATAACGTTGTTCAGAATGAAAAGAAGTATAAAATTTGTGAATTTCAGATAAATGTAAAACTGTTTCAGGTGTCATGCCCACATGGATGTTACTCATTTAAGTGTACGCTATTTAAAATGAAGCTGTTATTGATCACAA